AAAGTTGTATCGAGAAAGAATAAACTAGTTTTAATTAAGAAAGGACTTGTATCGCTGAAGTTCCTCGGAAAGAATTTATAACGAAAATTAACAAACGAACAGTTACGCAACACCACTATTCGTTGGTAAAAGAGTAGCCCAAGAGTTAGCGGTGGGTGGTGATGAATAGCTGCCTTCCCTCTAGTCGTACACTGCTAAATTAGGGACTGCTAGCGCAGATAGCCCTCGTGTAGCTTTGCGCGAGATTCAAAACAAATCAAACCAAAGTTATCCTTTAGGGAACGCTCTAACAGTATTATCATTTAGAACATGTAATTATAGTTTATCATGCGAGTTATATTTGACATACACACACACATATATATAATTCTAATATAAAATGAAAACAAGTTCTGTACCATAAATCGACTGACTTGATCTGTTTGACACGTTAGCCATGTTTTCAAGAGTAGAAAATGTCACGTTTCAGTTACGAAAGACCATTAAACATTGGTAATGTTAGGTAAATAGCAAACTTTTGGGTAAGTTCTAAATTATTTTTGTGAAATATTAGTTCTTTATTACCATGCTCTGCACACTGTTTCTGTAGGCGTAGGAGCAGCGGTGTACCCTCCAGATATTTTCCATTTTCATTTACTATTCTGAGGCCGATACTAAAACCAGCGACTCCACTCCTATTCCCAAGACAAGGTAAAAATACCTGGAAGACTAAGAAGAAATAATAGGACCTTGTTAATGTTGTTCTTATAAGAGCAGATTTACGTATATGAAAATGTATTGTCTTTTGTATTACCAATATTTTACTAAAAATTATTCCTTATGTTATTAGATTGATTTCCTGTGTTATTGTTTCTTATAATTAAGCAATAATTTCTTTGGTGCCTGTATTATTGTTACAACACTAAAATATATTTAAAGTGTTTAATATCTCCAATATAGAACTACATTATGTCTTTAATCATTATTATATATTGGTTGAGTGCCAGGTTTGAGTTAGAATATAGTTATGAAATATTCCATGAACATCACATCACCTACATTGTGACACAATTTTGTCACTGTTATTTTATCTTTAGAACGACATTTTTTATAAACAGTACCCGTACGTTTTCTTTTTACATTAATAAAAATGCATTTTTTCTTATACTGTGATAATTTTTCAAATAGTATTAATGTTATAACTGTACAATAACACTATTCTTTCAACAATATTTGTACAGGACCTGTAAATGATACTGTTGCGTCATCGAGATCATGTGATTCTCACGCTCTCTACTTTCTAGAATTATCCTGTACTTTGGTGAATGCTCTAGTATTTACTAGATGGGGTAGGTTGGTATATAAAGAGGAAGGTGATGCGTGTATAGATAGTGAGTAATTGAACTGCAGTCAGAAGTATTATTGACGTTCGTTGTTATAGCGTTTGTTTAGCGCGATTGTTGAAGTTGAGTGTATCGGTAAAGTTATATTC